GCGCCCAGTGGTGCGCAGTGGTACTACTACTACTACTACTACTACTACTACTACTACTACTACTACTACTACTTCTACTACTACTACTACTACTACTATTATTACTACTATTACTACTACCACTGCTTGCTGCTGCTGTTGTTGTTGCAACAGCAGCAGCAGCAGCAGGAGCAGCAGTACAGTGGCAGTAGCTGCACATATGCAGCAGCGGCAGCAGCACCAGCAGCATAAGTAGCAGTAGCTGTAGCAGTTGCATTAGCAGCAGCGGCAGCAGCAGCAGCAGCATGAGTGGTCGCAGCAGTAGCTAAATCGGTAGCTGCAGCGGTACAGTAGTAGCAGCAGAAGCAAACAAAATAAGCAGCAGAAGCGGCATGGCACCAGCAACAAGTGGAGGAGGAACAACGATAACGAAGACGACAGCAAGGCAAATTGCAGTACATAACAGTTCAACACAAGTGACTAGTCCATAAATTCTGCTCGAGCAACTTGTACAGCCTGCTCTCCTTGTGGCTTTGTTGACCTCATGTGTAAATCTGGCCATCAGCTAGAGGCGGGACTGCGGATTTAATGGAGTTTCATGTGGGGCCATGACTCGATGCACGCGATCCTGATTGCCGGGATGGGAGATATTGATGGGAGTATTGTTGGGCTATCCTCAATAGAACCTTCTAGTAAACTGGTTGAGGAATCTTGCTGCATCGAAATGCGGTCTTGATTGAAACACTTGCTTCACAATCACCAAAAGCCAGGTGATCTCTACAAGAGAGATCTCTCCCGGCATATACACTTCAACAATCTCAATCAAGCCTGCTGCAGCAGTGAACACGAGCACAAGGGGCACGTGCAACATACTACGGAATGGCTTAACTTTGGAGAATTGCAAGTTTTGCGGATTTGAATTCCTGCCCGCAGCAGACAATCTAAGACATCTTGCTGATTCTTACCTGAGATTTGTAGGATTGTAGGGTACCTTACAAAACTTTGACACTCTTTCATGAAAGCTTTGGTCGGAGGGCTGCTTTCACGCACCAAGAATTAAACCGAAGCAGCTTCTCCTATCAGCCTTCGAAACTAGGAGGAATCCTGTTGCCAGCAAGGGCTGGACTCTGCGCGAGCTGGTACTCAAGCTGCGTGGCAAAGCTTCGGAACCTGAGTTCATGATAATCGCGGAGGGCTTAATTGGCTTCTGGGGGACAAACACTACTCACAACACAAGCTTATGCAGTTTTATGGGACCAGAGGCCGTACATTCTGGAAGTTTGAAAGCCGCTGCCTTCTGAAGAGTGAAGAGCAGGCGAAAACTATCTCCTTGCAAGGGAAGGCCTACAGCACGACCCGCCGTCGTTGATCGTCGTGGCTAATTCTGTACTTACACCCATCACTTCTTGGCCTGACCGGCAACTGCAAAGGAGAAAACATGCAATTCAGACTTACCCAAATCCACAAGTGCTTTGCTCTGAAGCCCCTGGCATGGTCTGCACACCCTGCAGCTGCTGACCTCGCAGGCAATTCCAAATTTGTCGGCCTTGACAAAGTATCTTGTCGTCTGGGATCGTCTGGGCAATCTGCGTTTTGCATCGACGCGGACACGATGATGCCTGAGCACGGCAAGTAAAGTCAGACTGGCATTCCCAATCCCTGTCAGATCCTTGAACCACGCACTAAGCCATCGTCAATCTCATCATGTTTCAGCCCATGCTCTCATGCGTGCACAATCGCCTACCTACCTTGAGACAGCAAAACCCTGTGGCCAGCAGTCATCCATCTTCGGGCCTCGTCTTGCCTTCGACGCGCGAGAGTAGCCTCCATGCGACAAGCGCCTGACAGGCTTTCTGCTAGCTCTTGACATTGAGGCGCCCTTGTAAAGCTTTGAAAGGCACGGAAGATTTGGGACTGCGTGGCAGCATAATGTCATAATGCACTGCAATTTTCTGGCAGCTGCTTTTCCCTTGCAAGACTAAGGCATCAGGTGTCCAAGGAGGTCGGAGTCATCAGCTTTTCAGAAATCCGTCACGTCATTCCTCACACAGCACAATACTCCGCGATCCTGTGAAATAACCCTAAGCGCCTCCACAAGTGATGCGACATCACGCCGACCCCTGCCAGCCACAGCGAGCGCACGGTCACAGATTCCATTTTTGGGCACTTACTTCGTGTGGAAGTGTTGTACGGCATTGGTGGATTTCACACAGGTTGACACTCTGGGTTGTTTCCGGATAGGTGCTCCACTTTTTATAATGCGCTTGTGTTTTGCAAAGGCCTGCAAGAACGAGGAATGCTTATGACATCAAGAGGCGTACGCATCATCTGTTTTTTCTTACACGTCCTGCTGAGTACGGGTCTGGTACGGAGAGTACCTGCAGCAGTGCTTGACTTACTCTTCTACATGTGATGCTTTCCTCAGACAGGCAGCACTGCTGCGCAGGCAACGCTTGCCCAACTTGGAGCGTTGCACTGCAAGCTGCAAATGAAGTTAAAGGCACATAAACGACCCTCTGTTCACATCACCTGGCAGAACTGTAGTACTGCACCACGCACTGTGTGGACATCACTGGTGCAGACTGTACAAGGCCAGCATCTACACAAGCCGCAGGAGGCAGCAACACCCAAAATGCGATCCCCACCCTTCCTACCCGGTTGTAGCTGCAGATGATCTACAGTGTGGATCGTCAGTATACCCTGAACGTCCTGAGCCATGAACCAGAAATTTCAACGGCTCTTGGATAACGCAATCAACTTGACAAGCACACCCAGCCCCACACGGTGAAACATGTGGAGCTCCACCCCTTGCACAAGCAGGGTAAAGGGTATCGGCCTTAGCTCCTCCCGCTCAGACTCCTTCTACCCAGCACTTAAACATTCTGCGCGAATTTGCGGAGGGATTTCAGGTTGGGCGCCTGCAAGGTAACAAAATCAAACATATATGCTTGGATCAAGATCCGGAAGCTATGCAAGATCTGCTGTGCCAGGCTGCGGCGCCCAACCGCCCAAAACCACTTGAACAGTAACAGCAACGTTTGGGAAAAATTTACTGTCTGCAGATCGCAAGGCCCCTAACCTAGTCACTGTTTCCTCCCTTGTTCAGCTGCATGAGGATGTCAAGGATGTACATGAAGAGGTTGATGATGTCCATGTACAGCCTGGGTCAGGGTCCGGAGCAAGGCCAGCGTCATGGCTGAAACATCTGAAATCTTAAGTACATGGCAGCTACCAACTCTTCTTAGCAAAGCGGGGGGCAATTTCCGGCCACATGTTTTCTCACAATACTCGCGATGGATAGCATATCCTGGTGAAAACTGATGAATGCAATTCCGATTTACATGCCACGTCCCAATGTGACATTTGGCGGTTGCTTCCAAGTAAAATGCTCACACCCAAACTCACAGTGACTTGCTAGTCATGCAGAGGGCTAGCTGTGACCTCATTGCGGATTAGCTTTCCGAAAATCAATTCAACACGAGCAACTGAATGGCGCCCTCGACGTAGTCATCCACCTGCACAAGTAAATACAAGTAACACCAATGCAAACATCATCAGCCTCTCAGCCTCGGACTTGGTCTCCAGAGACTCTTGTTGTCTACATCGAGGCTGTGCATCCATGAGAAAAAATCTCGAGTTGAGGCATAGATGCATTCGAGGCTTTGGATTACACAGGTTGGGGGCACACAGCGGCTGGTGCTCCTGCAGCTCAGCATGTGCCCAGAGATGTGTTACAGCAGCAGAAGACCATAGAAGTTCGCCTGCGGTTCGTTTGACATTAGCCTCGACGGTCTCGATTTAGTTCGTTGCTCTTTACAAGCCCGTGTGGCAGTTTCTCAACACAAGGGGCCTTAGGGACCGAGGAATTATGCCAATTTGGTGGGATTCTTGTGGATTCTAGAATAGCAATTTTGATGAATTCTGATCCTTGTAAGGTAAAGCCTCATCACAGCAACAACGCTATGCACAGCAGACCCAGCAAACCTGGAGCTCGTTGGCGATGCGCCATGTGTCATAGACCAGGTATGCGCAGAAGATGGCAGCACCTCAGACAAGTCACAGTCTGTTTGAGATCGCATACGGCTGCGTAACGCATGTGCATGTCAGCAAGGCCCCTACATGCACAGCATCGCCGACTCTTTCTGTGCAGTGCCCTCTCACTTGGGCTTGGGTAGACCGCAGCGTTTGTTCAAAGGTGTGTCGAGGGCTGCCACTTGACCAGTCGCGCTTTCCTTGAGTCCCGTGCCTGCAAAGGAGACGATGAGGCCGAGGATTCCAGTGTGCAGGGATGGGAAGAAGCAGCCTTTGAGGATGACAATGTGCCAGCTGCAGAAGCTGCTTTTAGCGCAGGAATTTGATCGACAAGAGTTCTGCCCTGAGACTGCCCTCATGAGCTTGTGACATCCAAATGCGAGAGTCTAGCACTTCTCCTTCCGGGACCAGCCAAGAAGCTCAGCAGGCCGAAAGCGAAGAGGCCGAACATCAACGGCCACAGAGCCTCTCACATTTCAACCCCAAGCCTCCTCATGCCTCCCCAGGCTAGCTGTCCTTTCCATAGGCTCCCACCTAGTCCAAAGCCGAGTTCAGACGCACTGCGGGTTCCACGACAGCGGTTTGAAAGCAGTTTCAGGCTCAGACGGCTCAGAGTTTACAGGCATGAATTCTGAAGACACGCGGCACAGGACGGGCTAAGCCACCTCTAACGGGCGAGCATACAGGAAAGGTACCGTACTGCAATCAGAGTGGCAGCACCAAGGAAGGAGAAGTCACGCTTGGAGCGGAAGGTGTAGATCGTGAGTCCTAGCTGGGCACTTGGACGGGCCAAGAAGAAGGACTGGAGCACTTGTTAGTGCGGAAATCCTTCCTAAGGCCTTTGCCAAGACTCGTCAGTAACAACCGAGACTGTGTCTGACTTAGAACCAAATCAAGGACTTAGGAGCCCGAGTTGGAACATACTTGCACCATAAGGCCAACTGTAAACAATCGGCGACCCGTTGAAAGGACAATGTGCGTGCCTTCAGGTTGGCCTGCTCCGCTTCAACAACATCCCAAAATAGAAGTGTGCTCTCGATTGTTTGCAAACACTGTAATTGCCCACAAGTGCAGAATCACACAGATTACACAGTATCATCTTCCGTCTTTGGGGCCACATGCAAAGTAGTGCACGGGCAAGAGCACAGCACCCTCAGACGGCATGGGTCTTTCCGGCAAATCTCTGGAGACTGAAGCTGAGAAGCGGAAATACTTAGAGAGCAAGGCAGGCTCCTGTCACCAGCAGGGCAGTGATGACGGCAGCCTGGGCCACCAAAGCACCCATCCTGCAGTTGCTTCATTCACAAGTCTGGCATCTTCATCTTAACATTCCACGTTGAGGCGGGAGTTCTGTCTGCATGCTGAGGCTTCCTGGCATCACACCTTGCGGCTGCTGGCCTTAGGGCGACGCTTCCCTTGTGAATTCTCCATACAGGAACAGGAACATTGCAAACTTGTTCTGTAGATGGTTGGAAGTTCGAAACACAACGCGTAAAAAGCACTCCCAAATTCAGAATAACCTCTGGGTTCCATTTGCCAACAACCACGGACGGTCCCCATAGCGCTCGCAACAGCCGCCATGACGCCAACGTCAAGAGACATGACCTGCAGGCGGGATCTTTTGACTAAGCAAAGGTACTTTTTAATGTTTGGGTTCCTCTTGCATCTTCCGCCTGGGGAATTCAGAAACTCGTCAGGGACAAATGCGATGTGTTAGGTTTTGCCTTGAGCACGCCATAGTGGCTTACTCTCGGCCAGGCCAAAGGTATCCATGAGGACTCAAGCAGTTGCCTTTAAAATACTAAAGCAAACCCAGGCTCCTGACCAACAAACGGAAAGAGTTCCCGTTCTTCAACTTACACTGAACCGCTCACTGCTGCTATTGACTGCTACTGCTGCTCAGCAGCAGCAGTGAGGAAGGCCAGGCCGAAGAAGTTCAAGGGGTAAGAGTTCCTCAGAGTTTGAGCTCAAAGTTAGCTTTAGGAACTTTAAAAGTACTGTACATCTTCATGGCTTGGGGTCTTGGGGTCTTATGAGATTTATGGCTTGGCGCTTGGTGTGCCAACAGTGTTTGCAAGAACCCAAACTCCCCCTTTGCTGGCCAGTGAATTTTTCAAAGTGGTAGAACGCAGGAATCACTGACCTCGTTTTGCTGCAGGGATCCCAAAGTGGTGCAGGTGATACACAGACAGACAAGAGCTTATCGATCAGATTTCGCTTGTAAACTGTGATTGTTTTACATCAGCTTGTTAGTGGTGGCACAGTTTCTGCCGCCTCCAATCACCTTGGTTCAAAGTCATGATGAGGCCAAATCCAGCCGAAGGCTCTTGCCCGTGTGGCAAATGAGCAATGCCAGGCCAGTGGCCAACCTCTGTGGACACGGCTACAAGACATAAACTCCAGAGTTTGCGCTGAAAAGCTTCACAGGCACCTAACTTGTACCGGGGCCCCCTTCGATATGGCAGCTTCTAAGGCTGAGCGATTCATGATCATGAGTTGCACAGACCACAATCTGCTACGCAGCTCTGAAGCTGCGAATGCAAAGCTCGACTCTCCAGATCGTTTGACCGAGGTGCAGGGATCCCCACTTGAACGCCGATGGCCAGTGCACAACGAAACCTGCCACGCAACAAGTATGGCTTAGACGTCAAGACCCTTAGCCTTACCTGGGAATTTGGCTTTGGGCCGGCAAACTCTTGGGCTCTGCATCCATGTGGCCGACGACGGTCGAGCGCAGCGGGCCGGCGCAGAAAGCCGCAGTGAGAGCCGTGGCTGCCACTTGGCCTCAAGGGCACGCAATCACTAAAACTGCACGTTCGGGATCATGTATGAGAAACCATGAGTTGCACGAAACTTGGTTCCTAGTCGGAGCTAACTGCAGCAGCCATGTAAGTTCGAAAGCACCCACCCCTCGTCACACAAGCCTAGTGAGGCCAGCTAGCTCTGCATGAAGTAGCATGTTCAAAGCGTGCAGTAACTCGCGATGTCGTCTCCTGCTTAAATCAGAGACCGAGCTACATGCGACAATTCCGTAGACCTTTCGGATGAAGCCCAGGCGCATCTGCAGGCGGCTTGCAAATAGTTAGGGTTGAGAGCTGCGACATCTCGGGCTGAAGAAGGCTTGTCAGCCACCATGATCAAGATTAGAGTTCGTCACTGCAGCAGCTGACACAATCACGCGATTCGGATAGCCCAGCACTCCAGTACGATTCGTTGAACCAAACCAAAGCAAATCACACCCTGCCAGCCTGAAAGACTTGCATTTGGGATTGCTGTTCAAGACAGTCTGGTCTTAGCCCGCGCCTGCTGCTGATTGATGCCCTGAAAGTCCGGGTACTGCCTTAGGCGATGCTGTATAGGGCAGCCTCCAGCCCAGGAACCATGTGTGGAACTTCAAGGACTCGAAAAGCAAAGGTCAGACCCCTTGGCCTCATCATTCTGCTGAACTCTTGCAGCCAGAGTACTGCTGCGCCTCCATGTCGTAGTGGGCACGGTAAGCCATGGCAAAGACTGGACAGCAAAGAGCAGTGAGCAAGGGGTGTCTTCGGACTTTTGCGAGACTCCTCGAGTGGCTGCAGTTGCACTTCAGGGCTGAGGCCGGCGGTGCTTTCGAAAAGGACAAGGCATGGCAAGGTGCTGATCAGCCTAGCCTAACCGGCATGTGACAAATTTGCGCATCTCCCTCAACTGCAACAAGGGCTCCTTGCCTCATCGATTTGAGGGCCGTGCCAGTAAACAAGAACCCCAACAATCTGCTTGGTGATTGGCACATAGAAGAAAATCCAAACAAATTCATGCTCACTTGTTCATTGAAGGTCCCTATTCAGCGAATTCTGTGCGTCTCGGCGCAGAAGGAACAAGGACAAAGAATCCTTCTTGCAATTGTCACTGTTGCACCATGAAGGAGAGTACGAATGAGCTGGAGTGAGAAAACGTAACGGTAGCATTTTGGGGGGGGGGGGCAGTCTTCGGAGGTCTCTACTTTGGGCAAAGGATCATGATGAGACAGGCTGATCATCATCCTTCCAAAGCTGCAAACTGGAAACGACCCGCCTCAGCTTTTCAGCAACTTTGTGGCCGGATTCTTTGCTCCGGCCTCGAAGAGGTCTCAGGGTGGGTAAGCAGCACTGTCCCCAATCTGAGTAAACATAATACTGGTCATTGGCCACGATGCCCCCAAGCAAATGACCATCGGAATTCCCTGAATTGCCTAGGCAGTATGACAAGCTTCCCAGAGTCCTTGGTAAATCAGAGCCAGGCATTGAAGCCTTTAAGCAGGCAATGCAGATCATTGACAAAGCTTGTGGAAACATCTCCAAGCCCCGCGCGCCGGATCAGGTCTCGATGCTGCGCACTCTCGTCCAGTTGCTGGCGGATGGCACGTTCGTCTCGAGCCTCACAGCTGATCTCCGCAAAGAGCAAGACTCCAATTGTCTCATACCCAGGCAATGTTGTTGCTTTGGGCAGGCTTCTAGGTTGCGGCTGTAAGCTACGGCACAGGCATAGCAGTGCAGCGCGTGCAGAACTGAGAGACCGCTGCAAGAAGATGGGGTCAAACCAGCTTGTAATGATGGGAAGCAGAGCCATGAGATGGCCTGGTTTGCCAACATGGCCCAGGCTGCCCAAGCCTTCCGGATTTGAAGAGAAACCGCTGATTGATAATTTTCAAGGGCTCTTGCAGAACTTGGAACTTGAAGATGAGGAATCCAGCTGGTCAAGTGCCGACATCTGGCACCAGGTGCGTGACATCAGACCCTAAACACTTTAGGCTGGCATAGAATTATAGAATGCATCACTTGAACGATTGAACTCTAAGCTTCTGCCTGGCCTCCGCAGCCAAACCCGCTTCTGTACAGCAGCACCTGCAACAAAGCAAGGGCGTGCAAAGAGCAACAAATCAAAATCTGAGGTTCAGCTTCGAGAGCGTAGATTTCTTTGAATGTGGTCTTCAAATCTTGCAGTTGAAAAAGAATCCCGCTCGAAAAGAGCTTTCAGCTTCGCTCAAATCCTCTATGTCGGAGACCGATATAAGCCTCAAAGCCTGACCTCACAAGTGCGCGGGTGGTGAAACAATTCTTAACGATGTGGGCTTGCTGTGAGAAATCTTCTGCTTGAGACGGCTTTATACGACCGCGTATGCGGCTATGACGCCCTACTCCCCGTATCTAGTCTGAAGCAATCGAATACTATATGACCAGCGATGCAAGGCACATCTCGCGGAGGATGCGCTTGGCGGTCGCCGACTTGGACTTCCGGAACAAGTCGATCTGACATCGGTGAGGTTGAGGGTTAAAGGTCATGTTACCATCATGGTTGCTTGCTGGCAAAACATCTCAAATCTACCTAACTCCTAAAGCCTGCCTGCACAAGAAAGGCCAAGCGCTACAACAAAAACCCAGCTGCTGTGCCTGGTCCCGGGTCTTCTGCAGCTGTGCCTTGCAAGCAGCCTCCTCAGGGCCATTCATATGGGATGAGCCAGGTGTCTGCTAAGGCCTCAGCAAGGAGGGCAGCCGAACAGGAAGGCCAAATAAACAGCGGTATAAACAGGCAGCATGAATCAGAAACTTGCGTGGGGTAGGGGCATGGCCTTTTCGCATGGCTCGATTGCAGAATGTCTGCAAGGAAAGAACTGTGATCTCCCGAAAATCAATGAAAGCTGAAGACCTTCTAAACACAACGCACGACACAGGTCCAATCTGAAGCAGCGCTCATAATATCCAGCAACCTACCCAACAGTATCCAGAAGACACCTTACATAGGCGACTTGCTGAGCTTCAATGCAGTGAAAGCCGCATGCAACGCTTTCACATCCATACATACGCCCAGAATGGCGGACCTTGCGCCCTATATCTTTAAGTCCCTTGCCAAAGTCTTGTACTTCAAAAATCTCCTCGGCGACCTCACGCCGTGCTGCCACGAATGCCTGGAAGGCACAGTACTTGAACGTTGGGTTTCTGTGTCAAGTCGGTTTGCGTCAGTTCCATTGAATTGCATTTTGCATGTGCCCAGCCTGGAAGCAGCTGGAAAGCAGCGCGGCCTCACCTCACGCACCAAGCTTGGACCCTTCAGAAAAAGTAAGGTCCCGTTCAGTAGCTTCAGGCAGGGCCCAGGCTGTAAGTGGAGGCCTTCAGGAGAAAGCTGTCGGCATTGAGCACCTGACAGGTGGGGCCTTACCATGTGAGGTAGAAGCAAAGGCTTGAGCATATGCTTACCCGCACGGAGTACTTGCAGGCTGCAAACAGTAGGAGCTGCAGTCTACGCAGCAGCTGCCCAAGCTAGAATGCAGCACCTCCGCCCTCATGGCAAAGGTTGCGCTCAAGGTGGCAGTGAAGGATACAAATGAGCTAACAGTTACAGGGTGGGCTCGGATACCCTCGAGATGGAAGGTCCAGGCCCTGAGAGAGAAAAGAAGCTGGTGGCACGGATACCCTCGAACGGGGCCCCGGCACCTTTCCTTACCGGTGTGACTTCGCAAAAATGCAAAACCGAGACGGTCAACAGCACTAGCAAGTTCCTTCAACGGTATGCGTGCTTCAAGCATAGCTTGCCACACAACTGAGCTTCAGTCATACGGACAGGAACATACATGCTAAGATGAACCCCTCATCTTTGAAGCCCGGTACTCACGATTCCAACTTGTGGGGACCACCTGCAAGCCTTTGACCAGGTACGCAGCAACTTATTTCAAAGCAAGTACCTTCACCTGGTCTTATGACTTCAGCTTCCACTCACCACCCATGAACTACGTAGGATCAACGAACGCCCTATGGGTGGTGACCTCGGAGAGCATCATACGCGGCGGCAATCGGGATTGCAGTAGTTTGCTCGTGAGACACGCAGCATCATGCAGCACTATGCAGCACTTGTCGGACTTGTCGGATTTTGTGGGACTGTCAGGATGTCACCCGGCAGCCCTGCTGGTCAAACGCAAACACAAACTTCGTACTTTTAACCCAAACGCTCAAATTTGCTGAAGGCCTGCGACTGCTTCATTCTTCCCAGCCGCACACGGAAGGCCTCCGGTCATGCGGTTTGCGATTTGACTGCAGAGCTCCGCGCGTTTGATGCTGAAGACACCAAATTTCCAGGGACTCCAGTTTGAAGAACTATTTGCTTGAGGAAGCAGAATTCAATTCTTGCAGCAAATGACCTGGCATCTTGCGATTTCTCGTGCCGTTAAGGGCTTCAGCTTGGGTATGAAAGACTGCCAAGGGCCGAATGACACAGGATGGTCTCTCGGAATATCAAGCCACTTCTTAATTATGCTCTATCCGACGTCCATAGCTGTCCAGGATGCCGCAACAATCAGAGGATCAAAGGAAAGGACGACTCGAGCTGACTGCATGACTAAGAAAAGCAAAAATGGGAAATGAAATGGCCAAATTTCACGTCATCCATGATGCCACGCTACCTGCGCTCAGACCTCAGCCATCAATCATTTTGGGGCGTCGATGTTGTCCCCTTACCTGACTCAGCTAGCCTGCTGGTAGATTTTGGCTCAAGTTCCTTAGTGCAACAACCAAAAATTGACTTGACCTTTCAAACCCAAACGTCGAAACCAAACTGCCATCAACCCACGTGGATGCCGGATTCCTCCAGCTTCTTCGCCTCAATCGTGCGGACGGGGACAGTCCCAGATATGGGTGCTGAACTGCCGGGATAGCACATTCGGTTTGCGTTCTGGCCCTGGTGTGCAATTCCATTGGAAGATGTCAGCGAACACACATCCCTGACCTAGCCGTCTTCACTGCGACAGGGGGCCAGATCTTCTTCCAGCTTCCGGTCTCGCACAACCTCAACAGTCAAGTCTTCAACTGCCTAGGGACAGAATTGAAACAGCTGTCAAGGTCGTTTTGCTTGCAATTTCACCCCAAGTGCAGACCTCATGGGCAGAATGCAGTGCCGCATTGCAGCCCCAGGTCAGGCTAGCTCTCGTGCAAAACACTCGCCACAGATTTTGCATTCTGAGAATCACCAAGCCGCAAAGCCCTCTTAACCTTCAGCCGAGACAACCACTCATAATCTGACCTGAACATTCAAACTAACACATGCGCACATTCGCTGATAGGGATCCCTGCTCCCTGCCATGCCCAGAAGCCTGAGTCAAAGCAAACCAAGCCAGGCTTGCGGCTCAGGAGCTACAGTAACCTAATGTTGGGTAGCGATTCTCTTAAGGGAACGGAATAGAGGGAATTTCTACCCCTACCATGGAGCAATTGTTTGCCGAAAACGGAATTCACATTAGCAGCAATTCAAGAACACTTGTGGGCAGCTGGGGCAGAGCCCCCCAAACAACTGTTCCGGTGTTTGATGGAGATGATCCAAAGTATGCCATTGCTCCGCGTGTTTGGGGCGTTTGTACTATGCAACAATCAGTCTCCACATTCATTGACATCTTGAACAAGAAGTATGAAAGGTCTCCGAAGACTCTCACCAACGCCTCGACACGCGCTTATTCCACACAGCTTTGATAGCTCTGGCTCCTACGGAACTTCAGAGAAATCTTATGCAAAACTGCTGGCGATACTGTTCTTCACAGCGCTGCTCTGCCTTGGCTGGCGATGAAAACACTCGGTGACTTCCACGGGCATGTTGACCCACCCAGACTTGGAGGCATGGCAACTCCGCATCTATGCACAATAAACCCCCCACAAATACGGGTGAATTAGTCCCGCATACTCAATCAATCGTGGCATATGCGGAAGTGAAAACAAGTGCCAATCTACCTCGAGTTAGTCTATGATGTGTGGCTTCACATGAACAGAGCCCTGTGAAGACAACCTTGACAGCTCCAACACAATACTTTTATTGGAATTCAATCGTGCTTCTTGGCGCAACTTTTGCACGCCGTCCAGTTCTTTTGGCGTTTCACTGACGGAGGGCTTGCAAACCGTCACCAGATCAGAGAGGTGAACCTCCTGCAAACTCAAGTATCCTCGATTGACCCAGCTCCGGGCCCCGGGCAATCCAGCCCTGCCTCTCGCTGCCGTGCAATCACCTGCCGCTCGGAGAGACCACCTCAACAAGGTGTCTGCACAACGATTTCGATGGAGCCGTCCAAGGCTGAAAGAGGTTCTCTGGGGGCATAGGCGCTGCGATGCGCTGTGTACACCAGGCTTCACCGTCGAGGGCTTGTTGGGCAGTGTCTAACCGGCGGAACTTCCGTGCATGTGGAGTCTGAAAACTGAACAAGGAAAAGGACTGGCAGCTCTCCTCAAACCTCTCCACGTGGCTCAGTTTCGCACGGACGCCGCGGAGTTGGCGCTCCTGCCCCAGGGAAAAAGCGTAGACTGCCCATCTGATTCCTCATGGTCAACAGTTACCCTTTGCACCTTGAACTCCTGCATCCTCTGCTTCCAGTCATTCCTCCGCTTCTCCTCAGGGCTTTGGGCTCAGGAGTTGGAGATTTTGGGCTTGTGTCGCCAGAGGTTTTGTGAATGAAGCTTTGATTGCATTGACGCTTCTCGCTTCTATCATGCGGTGGCAAGCGAAGCCTGCGCTTGAAGCAAGGTGTCAGGCCCTCATGCTACAAGCTCACCCGAGTGCTACCTCGAGTACGCACTCTGCCCTCAGCACTGCACCCCTTGGAACAGGGCTCAAACAGAATCCCCACAGTCAGCTGCGAAAAATTACGTGGAAGCCTTTAAGAATGCAAAAGCTTCCAAGACTTTTACACCCAAAGTTATGAAAATCTGAAATCCGCGAAACTCCAATGCTGCCACGCAGTGAGATAGGTCAGCTGGCGTTGAGCCCCATCTGGGACAATGACGTGGGCTGCAAGCAACAAGAAACCAGATCCTCGAGAAGAAGCCCCTCTGTGGCACCGGGCAAACTCCATGGCCACCCGCCGCTCGCTGCGCAGCTCTGCTGCTGCTGCCTCCAGGGCGTCCACTTCCGCTGCGGCTAACGGCATTCACAACGTCCAAAGTCTGGACTACATCAAGGCGACGACCTCACGTCGAGATGTGTCTGAAGCAGTAGCATATGTAGCAAGCACGCAGCTGGCGCACAGAGCTCAGAGCGCCTGCCATGAGCGGAAGACCACGGTCCCCAAGCCACGCATGCTGCCTGGACAGCTTCTTCAGCCCTGCATCATCACTAGGAGTTTTGTCAAGAGCCTTTTGCTTTTCGTCTCCAACGAGCCCAACAAGTTGTGTCACGTTTTGCAAGCCGTCGTGCCTTCAGCAAAGTGGAGGACGAATCTGCTCGACTTCTGCAAGGCCGCATCCCTTCCTCTACCTCAAGCAGCTCGTTGATATGTCGAGGTTGAGGTCAAAACTGGCTTCAAACCCTTGGCGGACAGCCACTGGATGTTCTCACTCACAGTACACAATGATGGTCACTAAGTATACAGGATTTGTTTATTGCACATGTATTTACCGGACCTTTGTCTTGTGCCTCGGGGATTCATGTTGGTGTGTTCATACATGACTCCCAAGCCAGCTACTTTGCGCAGGATGTTCAGGTGCTTGAAGCAGTGAAATGCTGTGGGCGTTCCACGCTTACCATGGCAGCACATTCTCTGAAAAGGGAGGACAGTACATGCTTCGAAGGGGAAAACACCTCGGCTGCCTCCGGAGCATTCTACACTCGGGAGGACAGAACTTTACAGCTTCAATTCTAAATCCTGAATCTCTGAGCCTATAGCCAAGCTTGAATTGCGCCGCGGCAAGCTTCTTCCGTGCCTGTGAAGTGCATGCAAATTAGCACGTGTTTAGGATCTACTGGTCCCCTTCATTTCTCATGCCCAAGTTGCTAAATTGCCATGATTCAGGTCGCACAAAGGGCACGTAACAATTTTGGAGCAGGCTTCAGATTCGAGAGTGACACCCGAACCCAGACAGTGAGAAACATCCGCAGCCCTGGAATCGAGCTGCGCACGCCCATTGCTTCTTCTTGGCACCGAGTCTTGGTGGCGAAGGAGGCAAAGCCGGCATTTCGTCAGCGCAAATCATGACTCATGGGCTCATACAGGAAATATCGGGTCCTAGAACACCTGACAGGTCTTCCTGCCTGCTGTTGTAAGGAGGCAGCAACTGGAAAGCAAGGCAGATGCTAGCCGCAAGCCGCTTGACAAGACGTCAGTGCCGCAAATACTTCACCAGGTACCAGCTGCCACTTCTTGGGAATGGTCTGACTGATTCTTCCTGGGGAGTGCACCAGCTTCCCTGTCTTCGCGGCATTGTCCTAGCATTGCGATCGAAAGGATTGCATCAATGGCCTAAAATAACCCAAATTGTAAGAGGTAAACGGGGTCGGAAAAAAGGGATCCGCCAATTTCTCATGGTTTTGCAGGAAAAAGTTCTCATGGTTGTGCGCGACATATGCAAGGCTAGCCAACATACAACACTGGATTCACAACACGGCTAATGTCCACAACTCGTCACGGAATCTGATGTGGGGATTTGTGGGGCTGGCGCTTTGCAGGATTGCTTTTTGAGGCTTTGGCTCATCATGTTGGTTCCTATGATTCCCTGTCACAAGGTCTGTGGCCACAGGCACTCACAGCATACTACATGTCGCTTGGTGCCGCATGGGTCTTACTCAGAATCCACCGAGGCCGGAGGCTTGGGGCATCTTGATCTTATTTTTGTTTCGGCAGCACTGGCAAAAGTCAGCCATTCTTGCTCCCTCTTCCCGAATTAACTTTCCCACATGCCAAATTTGGAGCTTGAATCAAAAGGCAAGCACGCAATGCAGGCTTGCGTCCGGGCGATACAATGTACCAGGACTACAAGGTCTGCGAAGATCGTGGCCGAACGACAACACAATAAATGGATGCCTGCACCTATGACGTGCCCACTTCCACTTTGCTGTCTCTGGCCATGATTTGCTATACCAGACATGATAAATGGACTTAGATATGCAGCTGGGGAAACCTACGTCCGTACCCATGGTTAATAGTAGGGCCTAACAGAATTTAGCAAAAACACTCCTAGCGTCTGATTTTTCAGACAGAAAATCCGGCACTCCTAAAAACACAACTGCAGAACGACACTTGTCCTAATCAGGAAGCGCAATGATATTCTAAAAGTTGTATCAAGAACAAGCGCAATCAGATGCACAATCCCTGGATGACTCTGGTTCTGGCCGGCTGAATAGGGATCGCTGCTGTAGCCTTTACACAATGAGCTGCTTAAATCAAGATCTTAACAAGTCTACAAAAAGGGACAATTAAGGCCAACATCAATCCTTCGAGGCATGGCGAAACTCCCACTCCCAGACCTGACCCCGGTGGTACCTTGCCCCACTCCTTCAGCCGCGCACGGAAAGCGCGCCTGGGATTGCTCATTAATTGACTTGTCGCGTCTCGACACACCTGGCAATAGCAGTAAACGGGAGGCTTAACCTCCTGCAGACGTAGCATATGCTCAGAACATATTGAGGCCGGAAGTCAGCAAGATGATGGTCAGCTGCATTTGAAGCCTCTTCGCCCTGATCTTAGGATGCCAAGACACAGCTCGGCACCAGCTTGCGTGGCTGCCATCCTTCGCCGCAAGGCCGAAAGAAAGGTTCAGTTTAGCATCCGACATTCGAGCTTCCAGTGCTCGCCGAACGCTCTCTCAACACTCGCTACCTCTGATCCTTCTGGAAGCCTGCGCACAAGGTTTGGTAGCCATCCGCACGAAGCATAAGCCCTGATGCCGACCCCTGATCCTGATCCTCAGGCTGAGATCCTCAACTGGAATCCTGAACGCAATGAACCTTGACGTAGGTTCTGCTGCAAGAAACGCTTGCGTTGGACTTCACAAGGGTCCAGCGAGACTGCTCCTCATGCCACATCACCTGGCCTGTAAACGACGTGAGCGATGTTGAAGGACACCGCGTCGGCTAAGGCCTCCTCGACGGTCAACACCTAGGTCCCAAAAAGAAAAACATGCACCATGATGTTAAATGTCTTAACACTTGGACGTGCGGATGGTCCAGCACAGCACTGAGAGCATAAGTCCCCACGATCCTGGAAACTGACCCCAGGGCTTCGAGCATCGCCAGTTTCCAGGCCGGATCGAACCTGTAGGACAAATCAGAGGCCTGCATCTTACTGAAAATCCTAATTTAAACTCTGACGCCTGTCTGGCTGCCTTGACAATGTTGAGATTCCAGAGGAGCGTGAACATCTGATTGGTAAGCTTTCAGGTACCAGAGCTCAGGGTTCCTCAAAAGATGACGTGCGCGTTCCCTCAAGCTTAGTAAGGCCTAAGCTTCCTCTCATCCTACTGGTCATGCTTCCAAGGAAAAAAAGAGAGACAAAAGATCCCAGAACGCAAGCCCCTAGCAAGCTCGCATCTCATGGTACTGCTTTATCAGGTATGGCATCATTTTGTCGCAAGCACATGCTACCAGCGACAGGAGGCTCAAGCAGCAAGGATGACCGCATCGAGTAAAAAAATGCTCTGATTGTAAGCACTTGGGCGCAGAGTGGCTACTCCCATGATCTGAGTCAAGCGCCTTGCCCGAACAAACGACGAGCTGTTGCAGCTGGCCAAAGAACTCCTGGAACCTGGGAGACGGCTGGGGGTTCCATGTCAAAACACTCAACCGCTGGATACAGGTTTGTTTGCACCACTATCACTAGCATGCTCAGGCCCGATTGACAAATGCCTGCTGGGAGGCGGGCTGGCCGTCGCCATCCTGAAACCATGCAGTTGCCAAACAATTCGGGTTTAATCGTTAAGCCTTGACATTTCTTTGTCAGCAATCCATAAAGCATGGTGGGAGACATGAAGGCAAAACGCTAGCTAGGAACTGCCTGTCTTAAGCCATGCCAATTGCGCGGCTGGAAGAGCATGCAGACTAGAGCTCCCAGATGTACAAAACCTGCAAATCGTCTTTTATCTTAGAGCTTTCAGGTGCGGAACTTTGTAGACACACATAGACACTTCTGCAACATTGGCATTGGGAACCGTAGATGAAACTTGCTAATTCGAGAAAAGGAAGAGGCAGCAGGCAGGGCAATTGATCTTCGAACCCATCTGCTCAGTGGATGTGCTGCACAATCCTAGTCAGGCTCAAAACCCATAGGCATCCTGGCCAGGAAGCATGGTAGTGAGATAAAACGTCAAGAGTACCGAATTCTGTGTATGTCTGGACAATGGAAGCTTGATGGAAGGGTTCTTCCTTGACCAAGCAGGTAATTGGCGAGTGGCCTGCAGATATGCTGCGACTTATGCTTGAACGAACTTACTTAAGACCGTTGGGAAGCTCATTCCTGGGGGATCTTCGCCAGCAAGGCATTGATCTGCTCTTCCTGCACTCGTACTTCACATGAACGAACCAAGTGCTGCGATTCACAACCTGGCCTCAAACCCATGAGCTTCAGCCAAAACTAAGCGTCGGGTCGCAATGCGATACCCTGCAGTGCACATCCGGCAGCAGCTCACAGAATGCCTCATCCATGGCCATGAGCTCCTGCTGATCATCTAAAGACCTGGATGGTTTGACGAACTTCTTGCAAGCGCTCAAGTGGATCAGTTGCAAGTGGAAGCACATTCGTGGATCACAGCCACTACTCCCTGGCACAATTACCTACAATCTCTTACAGTGGCCCCCATAGCATAATTCCTCACGAATAACTGAAAGCCACGAGCTGGCACAATCCTCCAACAGAAGCTTTTGAGCACACAGATGTAAAACCCCCGAATGAGATGTTAGCTTGCTCCAGTTTTCTACGGGTGTGGTCGCTGTCACCTTATTTTGAGGTTATGTTCTCCAAAAATTGCTGTCACTTGGACTCCCGGCATCTCGACTCCGAAGCCAGATAGCAGCCGTGCCTCGCAGCAGATGCAAGCAAAAAACGTTGTGCGAAACGTCGGATATGGCCGCATGGCACCCATGTAAAACTGCAGGAACAAGAAATTCAAGACGCTTTTGATGAAGGATGCCAAGGGCTTTGGGCTGCAAAGTTGTGACTTCAACAGTCGAGATGGAAACCAGATTCCTGCAATCACTTTAGAGCTTCTGGGCTTGGAATCACTGCCAGGTAAAAGTTAGTTAGAGTCTTTGAAGTTCCGGGGCACACCGCAAAACTCTAGCCAGGTCTCAGGCAGGGCCTGCAGTCCCGGTTTACTTGGGCGGCCCCCTCTACTCCCGCGCTTCACTGCCTGTCATAAGATAGCGAAAAATCATGCGGTCCTCTCGACTATGCTTCCTGATATCTTGGGCTTTGCACAAAGCTTCACACAATGTTTTCCTGAAAAGAAGTACTGATGTCAAATTGTCTCTGCGCCCCCGGCCGCTGCAGCGATGACATGACGTTTGTCGCCACAACTGGAGAGGCATGCAGCCACTGCCTTGACAAAGCTCCCATTCTCAAGGGGCCTGGCTCCGCCTGGTTTGAGCCTTTAGGGGCTGAATGCTTTCGTTGGCAAAGGCACCTGTCCCAAGGAGGGTCGAGGCTGTGCCGGAGAAGGACTTTTCTTTGTTGCATCAGGTCTGACCGCAGACATGAGGTCTTTGTCCGAAAGGCCATCCGAAGCCCCATGGATCTCTACCCTAATGAACCCTAAACCGTAAAAGAAGCACGACTTCCACTCTGTCTATTGGGACGAAGAAGTCATTCACTCGTGGCCTGAAAGTGCCTGGTCTCGAAGAAGTAGCCTTGATGCGTGCCGGCAGCTTTTCAACATTCAACAGCTCTGCTAGCTCAAAGACTTCAGGCTTTCGGCTGGAGCGGCTGAAGCTTGTGGCTGATACTGGAGGTCTGAGCCCTGAAGGAGATCTCGGGTTCTGGGTAGCCTTGATAGGTGCCCAGTTGCAGTAGACTTCTTAGAAAAAGAAGGAACAGCCTGTGCCAACCAATCCATCGCCCAAAGCCGAAGCCGGAGGCTCCGGCCAGCCATGTACTCCCGAATCAGCTGCCATCGGTCCTGAGGAAAGGCTTCAACAGGCATTAAGAGCTTGATGGTCCTGCAAGGGAAGATCCTCTTTGTCAACGTCAGCCATGGCGTGTTGCCCGGCTAAGAATTCAGATGCAGACCGCGTGACATTTTTTCAATCTGGGCTTTGGCTGATAGTGCCAACTCAACCTACATGTACACACACTCTGTCTTGGCATGTACACCTGCAGAGTCGAACTTGACAACAGATCCACATTGAAGCGGTGCAACATGATTACTCCAGGTGCAGGGAAGGGCCCCCTCCCTACATCAAACCGCCCCGAGCCTGGGGTCCACAAGTGTCTGAGCTGGGGTTGGCTGCTGATCCTTGCTCGATTACTTGCCTGCAGCTGTTCTTTCTGACAGGTTCGTGCCCCACATGACTAAAAGCTTCCGAGAGCAGGATGATTCAGGCGATGCTTGTCACTTGCGCAGAGCATCGCAAGCTCTTCACACAAACCTTCAGGAGGACATGTCCCACAAATCTTTCCATGTACTTAACCTGACGGCTTCTCATGTACCCCCTGCTCCTGTTCCACAGGCCTGCAAAAAGCGGAGAGATGACTACGGGTGAAGAAAGGACTGGACCATCACAGACAGGAAAATCCCGCAACAAGATGCAAGCAGCACGGAAAGACAGACACGTTTCCATGGCGGAAGGCCCCTACAACATTCAATTCTACGTGAACCTTCGTGTTCTGCAAATAATCTTTGATCAGACCATCTATAGCGGTTGGGCCAGGTCGTTGATTCCTTGGATGATGCTGACTCCTCCCAAGATTCCTCAAAACCGTTCAAGAACTGCAAGTCCACCAAACATGAAGCCACTGACTTGGAATCCTTAAGATCTGAGTTACAACCTGCACCTGCTTTGCTTCGTCGAAAATCGGCACACAGCCTTCAAAGTTTGAGGCACAGCAACGAATGCTGTGCAGGCATTAACCTACAAATAAAGAAGCCAGCTCAGACGATGGGGATGGCGTGGAGGAGAGGATCCTGCCGTCAATGGCTTTGGATTGAGGAAGGCAGGCATCAGCAATTCAGAGAAGGCTGGTTCTGAAAAAACAGCGATCGTGTCTTCTGGTGTGATTTGTGTCATATTTTCAGGCATTAGTGAGTGCATGCCGTCGCTTGCAGCATTGCTTGAAACTGGATCCCACCACCACCACCACCACCACCACCGCCACCGCCACCGCCACCGCCACCGCCACCGCCACCGCCACCGCCACCGCCACCGCCAACGCCACCGCCACCGCCACCGCCACCGCCACCGCCTCCGCCTCCGCCTCCGCCACCGCCACCGCCACCGCCAACGCCACCGCCACCGCCACCACCACCACCAGCACCACCACCACCACCA